CATTTTTTGGGGATCCTTTGAATAATTCTCATGGTTAATCACTAAACTAAGAAACCAAAGTGAATTAAAAGAGAACTTAGCCATCAACCTTATAAAAAACACACCCTCCAGTTCAACCATAACCAAAAGTACTCAATGCAAACTGCAGACATTGGTTGTTGGAAAACAGTGACAGACAGCCTTGGCCCTGCCAATAAATGTGAGTTACATTTCCCATTACACTTCTCTTAACAGTAACAGAGGTTGATCAAACACAAAAATTTCAAAGGACATTTCTAGAAAATAGTGGGTCTAGTTAAAAAAAAAAAAAAAATAATGTTTTTACTGCGGCCAAGATGCCAGCAGGGCATTTTTATGTGATCTGAATTTGGTGACAAGGAAATTGATATTAAACATTGTAGCAGCAGAACCATTTCGCAATTTCTGCTGGCAGCAAAAATCTAATGTGAAAAAGATTTATCTAATGTGAAAACGACAGGAAAAACATTATTGTGACTAACACTGCATCAATGTAAATGTTATCATTCAGTCTTTATTCAGAATGAATGTTCACTGTAAGATAACAATCTCTGTCTTAATCTTTGCAAGGCTTTTAACCCATTGAAAACCAACAACAGTCTATAGCCTTTTAATAATCTATTTAAAGATTATATCCTGATTTTGCTACGTCCTCCTCATGTAATGACATCAGAACGCATGGAGCTTTCAATGCTACAGATTATTTTGGTTTTAAAGGGAAATGCATTACTTGACAATTATTTTTATTAAATCAGCAACCAATCACTTTTAAACAAAAATGCAAACCAAAATAAAGCAAGAAAATCTTTGAAAAACACATAGTAATTTCTATAAATTTACTATGAATTTGGTCAGATTGCATTGTTTGGCACGCCTCTAAGCTAGGGGAGTTTCTTAAGCCTCCCCACCACCTCCTGTTTCCCACCCTTCTCAGTTTCACACCAGTCCACTAATGACAGAAACAAGACATCATTGTGCAGCAGCAGGAGAGAGAAACTCGACACCAGAGCTTGCTCTGCATGATCACACTGATCTTCTCCCCCTGTCAGGATGTTCCGGGAACCAGAATACACAGATAGAATCACAAACAAGAATATTTGTAATACTGGTCCTTAGAATGGCCGGGTTATACAAATAAGCAGAGTAGATATGTGCAAATTCGTTTCGTTCTGCATATACATTCGGACAAATTTTGTGCAATTCGGACATTCCGATGCTTACGATTTTTCCGAAGTGCCGAACTTCCCTTTTGGTCAAGAAATGAAGTTCATAGTTTAGAGAAACATGTTTGTTTGTTTTTTAACAATTATTCATTCAGTCATAATAAATAACTTAACATATATTTACTGGCAAGCAGAATCATCTTTCCTGCTCCCATACTGTAAGCATGTGTGGATAAGAAACTTTGATTATGCATTCTGTCATGCAAGGAGGTAGCGGGCATGAGGGCTCAATGTAATTCAGTACCGATCACTGATTATTTCCAAGGTGGTATTTTATGTTGAAATTACGTATATAAAATGGTTTATTGGAACTGTACTATAGTATGGGCATTCTGCTGGTATTTTTTTATAAAGCTGCATTGCTATCAATGCCACAAGGCTCTTATTATGACCTATAAACAAAATAACTAAAAAAAAATTATCTATTTTTGTCACACTTATTAAATGTGACAACAATTGTATTTCTCTTTTTGTTTTGATATTTATTTGAGACAGGAAAATACATAAATGAATAGGTTACAATCTTATCAATGCATATACAAGCTCCATACAGAAAAGAAAAGATAGGCGTTTGAATTGTAAATAATCTAACTTGTAGCAACTATCTCTGGAAGTACAGTCATCTTTGCTTTTTACTTGTGATTTAGCGATACATTTCTAAATAACAATATTTAACAATTGTGTGGTTTGAAGCTTATATACACACTTTGTGTATATAATATATATCGCCACGTCTAACTGTTAGAAACCTATCTTTTCTGCATTAATATATAGAAATGCTCATTGGGGTCTCAGTATAAGTATGCCCTCTGGCATGGGTGTTTCGCTTGGCAAGAGTTCTCATAAATACCCTTCTGTGTGTTGGAATGTAGAGGCAAATGAGGGATTAAGGGAGATCACATCACAATTCTTCCTTTTTTTAGTTCATTTATCCTTATGTAGTGAAGTCTCCATCCAATCTGATTAAAATAATGAATATAATTTGTTAATAAATTTGAAATGGGGAGGTGGGGCCTGAGCTCCATGACAGCTGGACGTGCCTTATGTGTGCTCTGAGCCAAATCATAGAATTTGAAGGAATCATTGCTTACCAGCTGGCCACAGAGTTACCCCTTGCAACTTACCTGATACAGAGACCGGCTGGAAAGCCTAGATTCTCCAACATACCTGACAACAAATACATTTCCCGGAGGTCCCGGCAAGGCCTGTTGTGGACGCTGGGTGGGTGAGACAGCTGCTCTCCCGCCCGACATACCACAGTAATCTGGCAAGCGGCGCCTAATCTGCTTACCCGTTCCCCCACCATTTAGACCGGTGGGGGTGATCCCGGTCCCCACTGGCTGTATCTCCTTTTGTTGAGGCACTAGGATACTGTACCTGATCCAGTTCAGAATGTGACTCCCAAGTTAAAGATGGCGGCTGTGCCTACACCACATGGTGCTGAGCCAGATCAGCCGGCAAAGGAATACTCTGACTTGAGTGTCAAGCAATCTCTGCAGAGGCTGGAGGATATCTTTAACCATTTCTGGGCCTCTCTAAAGGCATGTCAGGCAGCTATGGTACCTCAGCCTCAAGAGGGGAACTTGCAAGATGGAGAGGTGGTGGTGACTGGGCCTACCTTGGGCCTTCACCTTTCGGAAGCGCAAGCCTACACTACCACTAGCCCACCTGGGCCGAGGGCTGACAGGGGCAAGACCCCAAGGCATCGACCACGCAGCAGGAATACCGACTGCAAATGGCGGAGTTACAACACCATGGCCACCTGTTTCTTCCGTACTGAGATGGACTTGGACTTCACAAGCGAACAGGTCCGTGGCACCATGATGCCGGCCTGTATTCCGGCCTCGGGCTGGAGGGGGGCCCTACATCGCACCTACTCTGCAGTTGCCATTTCAAGCCTCTGCAAACTCACCAGATGTATTCCAGACACAGGCATAGGATAGATGTCAGCAGGTTACCTGGGCAGCAATTCTGCTAATGCCTATGCTTCTGCAGCTATGGCAAATCCCCTACTGAGCTTGCTATGCTTCTATCACATATCTGTGAGCTTTCATCTTCAAAGTGAAGTATCTATATGCTAATTGTGACCCAGTGGTTTATTCACGTAACAGACTTATGTCTAAATGGTTCCCATTAATTGCTATCTTATGTTTTACTTTACTGTTACGACATGTTTGCTTTCTTAACTGTTCTTTTCTTTTAAAATTGTGCTACTATCTCTAATGCTACACAGCCCACTTGGTCAACCGCATATCTCATATATTCAGCCTAGATATGTTACTGACTAAACCAGCGAGAGCATGTTTTATTAAATTTACTAATTGTGACTAGCAGCTTAAGCGACTCGCTCTTGCATATACATAGTGTTATACACTTTAGCTCAGATCTCTCACCACAGAGTTAAGCTTTCTGTCACATAAGTCTGGACCAGTCTTAAATCCCTGCTGGTATATGCCCTACAGGTATAGGATCTTGCTTGAGAGCTAATTTTGGATCAGCCCGAATTAACCTGTTTACTGTTAATAATACAAAATATGTGCCAGAAATTGCTGGCAAGCAATTGCTCTACTATGTACATTGATATGTTTGCATCTGCTGTCATGGCAATGCAGGATTGTCTGTATATTCTAAGCACAACATAAATAAAGATTAATAAAAAAAAAATGAAAAAAAAATGAAAGGGGAATCCAGAGAGATCCAGGGGCAAGGAGAGTACAACAGTGAGGCATACAAAGATCCTGCTAGACCATGAGAACATCTATAAGTGACATTTCGCCATGAGTGATACCATGCCTTGTGACAGCTGATAGGATTGGACAAAAATTGCCAGTGGAGTTCTGCCTATTGTAAAGTCCCTACTTTGTCTTATGTTATCTTTGGATTATGTTGGAATTTCAATGAAATCCCAATACAGTCACCATCAGTATTTCATAAAGATTATATCTTTATTAAATATTGAGAAGTGGCAAAGCCGCTTTAAAACCAGCTATATTCTCAGCTTGGCTATTTTAGTCCACAATTCACAAATTCACTGTTGAGTTTACCTATGGTTCACTGTATACTGAATACATTTGTGTTGATCTTTTTAGTTGCTGAATATTTGAATGTATGTTTGTGTTAAGTAGTTGCTCAATCCAGTATAAGAATCAGTTGGGGTGTTTTTTTTATCTTTTTCTATGCTTATTTTTATTTATTTTTTTATTCTTTATTTTGGAAGTGCATGAGATAACATTCAGATTAGCTCAACCACAACAGTAAAAGTTAACGGAGCCATAAACAGAAGAGAAAATACATGTGGTTTCAGATGCTAGGCACATTTTTGTTATTATAGAGAAAATATTGTGCTACACATTCCAGGTGGGAAGGAGGAGGCATAGAAAGTGATAAACTAAGGCCCTAAGGGGAACATAGATAGACTGTGGTTTGCTCCTTCCTGGGAGTTGCTGCCGTTAAGGTGAGTGCCGCCGGTGTATATTTACCGGTGCGGTACCTCTAAATTTTTTCCGCATAGGGCCAGGTATGTCTATTGCTGTTATTGTTTACACCTGGTGAAATCTAGGTTATGCTCAAGCGACATGTTAGGTTAGTATCAGGCAGGGGGAAGGTAATGTGGTCGATTGACCCTCCGTGTAAAGGAGTGTGACTAACTTGTATATAACACCATCAGCCCAAAAAACTGACTGTAATTTTGGAACAGGTGAACAGTTTGATTACAAGTCTTGGTATGTCACGGTCTAGTGTCCGATATGTTTCAGGTGGTCACAGTTCCATTCCGGGTTGTTGTGGTTTTTTTTGGAGGTCTGCAAGGAGCGACTTCAGGACCGCCGTGGTCACCGGAGAGGTATCCGCTGTCTGATTGGCAAGTGTCGGTCTGAGCGCCGGGGTGAAATCAGTCGCCTCTTCCCCAGAGGAGAAGTCATCTGATAACTCAGAATAATTTTCTGGGTAGGCAGCCATCTTGGGCCTGGTAGCTTCGCGCGTCTGTTGGAGGAGATCCGTAATGTTCGGTCCCTGCCGCGGATTATCAGGTTTTATTTTCTTGTGTGCCCCATCTCCCTCAGTCCCTATAGGTAGCCCAACACAGAGTTGATTGTGTGAGTTAGTCAGATTTGGGCCTGAAAATGCCGGAGCTCCTTTGCCATGCGGCTCTTCAGCTCGGCTGCTAGGCTCCGCCCCCTAATGTATGCTTTTTTAAATTGTTTTGTTTGCAATTACAAAACATGCATATTTTTTATATTTTTTTGTTCTTTTTATGTCCTTATCTAAACTCTACATATAATCTAAGTATTCTGAGGGGCAGCTATTCCGAAAAGCTATATAAGTGGAAACAAGAAATGTCATCTAATATTTCTGTCTTTTGGTCTACCTATATGTCTGCCTGCTTTTGTGTATATCTGTTAACATGGTGCTGCCCAGATGACTCATACTGAAGGGCCATACATTCTTTTTTTTTATTGAATCTTTATTAAAAAATGCAATTTTATAACAGACGTCGATACAAACAAACAAATAATATATCTACCTAGCTCTTGCTTAATATAATCTGTTATCTCGACATAGATATCAATATCTTTGAATAATATTGTATTTTTTAAGGGGACCCAGTACAGTTCCTGATTCTATAAAGAGAAGCATAATATATACAAAACATACATAACACTAACTTACTCACAACATACAAATTAAAAATATCAGCAGAGAGTGCAGATGGATAAATGCTTTATAGGTTATACCAAGAGGTGTTGATCGCTATCTATGTACAAAGATCATTCCGGGCCACGTTTTTTTTTTTTTTTCATGGTAGAATGCATTTTTTTTATTTGTATTCTTTATTTTTACTGTGCAAAGAAATATAACAATATGTGCAAGGTACCCCGACGGCATTCCTCATGCTGATTTTCAACAGTTATAACAATGGGGTATACAGGGTTGCTTGCACATTTTTTGTTAATTAGTTTTAACGTAGCTTAACATGTCTAGTAACATCTTGACAGTATAGTAGCATAGATGAGCATATTTAAGCTAGACATTGAATAAGTGAAAGGGTTGCTGACTTCAGGTCTAAGCCTGAGGTGATGGGTCACTGATTATCAAGTATAGCATTCTAGGTTGTAGTTAAAAAGCAAGATTTGGTAAGACCTCAGCATCTGTAATAGTGGGATTTTACTCCACACACATCCCCCAGTGTTGCAAGGTGCCCAGCATTAACTCTGGCGCTCAGTAGCAGGTAATCGCCCGAGAGGCACAAGCTTATTGGCAGCTGCATCATAAAATAGAGTAGCATAAGATACCAGAGTAAGACACATTGCTTATGTTGTGGGCTAAACCTGCTGGGTTGCGCTGCGGGATATGAATAGTCCCAGGGGCACCTTGTAAGACTGGTTAAATCCTTTTGTGTGAGACAATCAAGCAGTTTATTCCAAACTCTAAGAATCTTTGGACAAAACCACCATTTATAGATATATGAACCCTCATCTTGATTACATCTCCAACATAAGTTTGAGTTTGTGACTGATATTTTGTGTAGCTTATCTGGGGTATAGTACCCTTTATAAATGACGTTGACATGGGTCTCTACATAGTTTAAACAATATATATATTTTTGTAACCATATGGAAACTTTTCGCCCATTCAGTTCTATCTATTTGGTGGCCCAGTATTTTTTGCCACCTGGTTATTACCGAGATATCCAAAGGAGACATAGATGATATAAATTCCATTGATCTTGACAGGGGTCTATTTACAAGATCCCCACTTAATAGACTAGATATCCTAGAGCAATACTGGTGTAAAATCAGTCTTATCGAGGTCTATAAAGTTTTTAATTCTCAAGTATGAGAATAATTCGTTATTTGGGAGAGAGAATTCTATTTGTAGTCGGGGGAATGATTTAATATTAATACCATCCATATGTTGGTTTATATTTTTATACTATGTCTTGTCCAATTTTTTTTCATAATATTTTCTATATTCACTTCGACTATCTCAAATTTAAAGAAATTAAGAATTATTTTTTCTAACTTCAACTTTTTCTTTAATCTTTCCCACTCTTCCATTAAATTATTTACAATAAGATTATTTTTCCAATTCTGTTTTAAGTTATAAGGATCTTCAATGTTCCATATGGCTGTTTCCCAATTGTTCATATTAGTCATATCACATTTGACTTGATACCAGAGTTCTTGCTTATTATTTTGTAGTTGAGATCTGTATATATGTGTTAAAATGTTAGCTTTATAAAGATCTCCTACTAAAGGCATATTAATTCCACCTTTTTAAATTTTCAATGCTAAGCTGTTTCTGCTTATTCTTGGGATTCTACCATTCCAAATGAAACCATTGAAGATTCTCTGTATCATTGTTATCTATGGGAATGTTTCCTTCAAGGGGATCATCTGAAAAAGGTAAGACCATTTTGGGAGAACATAATTTCTAATGGTGTTTACTCTTCCCCTCCATGATATTTCATACATTCTCCATTCTTTTAAGATGTTATTAGTCTGTCTTAGAAGCCTTAAAAAATTCAGCTCCATGGTACTCTGGACCTCTCCCACCACTTCAAGGCCTAAGTATTCCATGCTCTGCTTTGCCCAGACAAATTCAAAGTTATTTTGAATTTGATCAGTTTCTGTTTTTGTAATGTTAGAAGCCATTATTACTGATTTATTAGTATTCAGCTTAAAATTAGATACTATGCTGTATTCCTCTTTTTCCCTCATTAGAGCTGATATTGATTCTTTCACTGATGTTATAGTAATTAAGATATCATCATAATTTTAGCCTCAGTGTTGTTAATCCTAAATCCCTTTATATTATTACAGTTTCGGATGTTAGCTGCCAGTGGCTCTATAGACAAAATGAAAAGAAGAGGAGAGAGAGGACACCCGTGTCTAGTTCCGTTAGTAAGACCAAACCAAGTGGAACAAATATTGGGACCTATTATTCTAGCTGTAGGCTTATCATATAAAGCCATAATTGCTTGTAAGAATTTCCCTGCTATACCAAACTTCTCCAGGACCGAGGTGAGGAGATCCCACCCGATTCTGTCAAAGGCTTTTGCTGTGTACAATGACAAAGTCATGTGGGGAATCCCTTTACCATTTACATAATCCAGAATATTAACAATTCTTCTAAAATTTGATGATGAAGTTCTTTCTGGGACAAAGCCCACTTGATCTGGATGTATCAACACTCAGATAATAGTTTTCAATCTAGCAGAGATCACTGTCACATATATCTTCATATCAACATTAATCAGTGATATTGGGTGATAAATAGTGATTTCTGTTGGGTTCTTACTCTGCTTTAATATTGGTATAATGTTTTTCTCTTGTCATCTCTTCCGGGAATCCATCACCCTCTAATATATTGTTAAACATCTTAATGAGGGCCTATGAGATCCTCGAAGCATATATCTTATAAAAAAAAAAAAATGGAAAAGCCATCAGGGCCTGGGGACTTTTTTCAGATAATTTATAGCTCTTTCTATCTCATCCTTAGTAATAGGTCTATTTAGTGGTTTTATTTGAAATTTGTTAAGGGTGGGGAGAGAGGTCTTAGAAAGATACTTCTCTATCAGTGCTATCCCAGGTTTAGATTCTGTATTATATAGTTTAAAATAATATTCATTAAATGCTCGCCCATTTTTTTTCCAGATTAACATACATTCTTGAATTGATCATTAATGTATGTACTCTATTGTCTGTTTGTTTTTTCTTCAATTTTCTAGTGAGCATTTTATCTGCCCTATTTCCTCTATAATAGTAGTTTATTTTCATTATTTCAAGATGTGCTGTTATTCTTTCTGTAGTTTTATCTCTAATTAAAGCTTTATTTTAATAAGTTTATCTAGAGTATCCTGTGATAAATTTAATCTATACTCTCTAGTCAATTGATAATGATCTTGATATAGATATGATAGCGGTTGCCCAGCTTGCTTCTTGACATTTTTATAAAATGGTCACAAGTCACGGCCTTAAAAGTGCACCAATAAATGCCCGAAGTGGTGTCAGCCACACTATTTTCCATAAAAAAATCTTCTATTTTTTTGTTCTATAAATTTACAATTTTCTTTATTTTCTAATAAAGAGTCCCTCATTCTCCAAGTTGTTCTATTAAAAGAGGGATAATCACTGGTCAGTTCCATTTCCAAAATAGTGTGGTCCAACCACGCATTATCGATAATTTCTATCCCTTTGATCTTTTCTATTAACATATGGTTAACCCATATCATGTCTATTCTTGATAGAGAGTGATGGACCCTGGAAAGATGAGTAAATTTCCCTTTGGGATGGAACACCCTCCAGATATCAAAGAGGTTATTTAAATTAAGGATATTTGTTAAATATTTTGCTTGTTTAGAGATATGTCTGCTAATAAAAGCTCCTGCTGGGATTTTTTTATCCTGAGTTGGGTCTAAAATTGGATTATAATCCCCTACTATAGCGAGAATGCCCTCCTTTACCTCATTCACTTTTTCTATACATTCCATACATTCTAATGTCATTTTTTTGGTTCATTTGCTATTTGCAAAGGAGCGGATTCTGTGCTTATAAGTAAGATGAGACGTGAGTTGCTGCCTAGGCATCTTCAATTCCTTACTTATTTCTCCTGTTTCCGTCCTCCTCATTCATGTGACAAGGGAGAGATGACACATATTAAGTGGGCAAAAACAGTCTCTACATTTAAGGCAGTGCTATCTGAAATCAAAACCTCAGGTACCTGTGCATGTGACATATGCTATCCTACTCCTCCGCCATTTGCAAAGCCACCATTACAAGTATTGGATTTTATATACAATTCTGAATTTAATTCGAGTTTAATGCACAATATGTCTAGGAATTAATAAAACTATAAATGCTATAAGAAGGCATTAACAGAAATGTAGAAATTTATAATCCTGCAAATTCTCGGATAAATAGCAAGATTATCCATAAGGTGACCTAAGGTTGCTGCCT